TATAATAGTGCACATGTTATTTATATCCTGACTGGTGCTTTATCAGGGGAAGGAAGACAACCTAGCTTGTACAAAGTACAAGCCTTTACCCTGTACCAGCTCACAGAAACAGTTTTGAAGGAAAATATATCAATTCAAAGACATGGACTCAAATTCGTTAGCGTTTCATGGGTAATAGTAAAATAAAACACGCAGGTAAGCCATTCCAAAAGAAGTATTTGCAGTATGCACATCATTTGAAATAGACTGCTTGGAACATACCCACCATTCTGAAAATGATATTTGGATCATGCACATCATTCCAAACAAACTACTTACAGCATTCTTTCGACAAGAACGCAGTGACATATAAAATCATTATCAGAGTAAATGTACCACTAATGTTGAACGGATTACATTCATTAGTACAGTATCTAACCGCTCTGAGTTTTAATCACATCACACATTCATTAATCAAAGGAGTCTGTCCTGGAGAAAGCAATCATAACGTCTTTAGAATCATGTTTTCTGTTGGTTGCTGTCCATCAGTACCAGTTGTTACCTCTGATGCGGATTGATATGACGGAGGGATCCCGACCTCTAAAATGATGTTTCGGGGCTGCAGTCGTAACGAGAAATGGGTTTGTCTTGTTTTCTCGTGTGCTGTCCAACTTGACGCGTTAGTGTTCTGTTATTGTTAATAACTCGACACGCGATATGGCAGCAGCACCATGCAGACCTGATCGATCCGCGTGTGGGGCCCGCGTGTCCGTGTGGCGGCACAACTGTGCCCACTTACATTTCTGATAAGTGACAACTGTCATTCCGACTCTCAATAAAGGAGAATTCGGTTTTCAGCTATTTCTCATTCGATTTGCTGCGTTGTAAAACAAGGAAGCACCTTCATGAAAACCCATATGTGTTAACTAATATTATAAACGTGCATGCAAAACAGTTCGTCACCACTCTTAGAATAGGATGGAAAGCCTTTATTTTCAGCTTCCGCCAACTCCGTTTTCTGTTTTTTGTGATCCTCTGCATTAGCTGCTGATGACAGTGTAGTGATCTCAGCTTAAGAGTCAACTACAGTCTGTCCAGATTGCAGTGTCATCTCAGCATGAGGGCTTACCATATCCGAGCCTTCTGGTGCCCGCCAGCCTTTGTTAACGAAGCTTAACTAGTGACTCACTTTAATAATATTATCGAGATGAGATCATAACTTAAATTTCTCCTATTGCTGTCCATTGCACTGTCGGTTGTAAATCATTACATTCACGTTATTGGTATCGTGTTTTAAGTATTTTGTCATTTTATCCATGTTATTGGCTTAACAGCTTTTGTAGTAAATCATTGTTGTCAATATATTGGTGTCTTGGTTAAAGTATCTACTGGCTCCAGTTATCATATTGATGTCGCAGCTTCGGTAGTAACTCATTGTAGTCTAGTCTGTGTCCTCGTAGGTTAAATATCTACTGTTTCGCCCATAACGTTGTTTATGTTTATGACACATGGAAATCATGATATCGTTCGCGAAAGTTACATTCTCTAATTCTATTGATTTGTCCCATCAGATAAAATCTTCAAACAATAATTTGTCGCATGTGTTGTAGCTTTGGTATCCAATACCTCTCACTAGATTGTTCTCTCCATCGTGTGTAAGAATATATTCAGTAAAACAAAACACATATTTAGATCCTGGTATTCAGGAATAAGGGGAATAGTTACTTTTGATGAACTGGTATTAAACGCAATGAATTGTATTCTTATAGAAACCCTTAACATGACCATCAAGATGCGCACCCAATGAACGAGTCGTGAGACAGTTGCATGTCAGCTCGCTATACAGCCTCTCGTGGCGTCTAAATAGGCTTGCCAATGTCTTTCAATGACCTCAACGACATTGTCCGCTAACCTTATGGGAATGCCGCTCAACTATTCCAGAATGTCTTCCTCGAAACTGCTGGAGAGTCAGCGGCTGAAGATTCAGGGGTCACAGGTTCATCTCATTGGGTTTTATGGGAAACATGAATATTGAGTTGGGTAAGGAGTAATATGTGTACACGAACAACGAATAGACCTTTTTAGTTGGATGTATTGTAAATGCTTGGAAATAAAAGTGACAAACCCCTTTCCATATTCGAAAGAAATCACTGTCAAAGCAGAGTAGATTGTCCGATTGCTACCATGACGTCAGCGTCATTGCACCTTCATACGCATGTTTAGCGGGGGGGGGTAGCCTGGTGGTAAAGGATTTCGTTCGTCACAACAAAGCCAAGTGTTTGATTCCACACTGGGTACAATGTGTGAAGCCCATTTCTGGTGTCCCCCGCCTGATATTGCTGGAAGTGGAATACTGCTAAAACCAAACTCACTCACTAACTTTGCTGGAAATATACTCCGTCCCGTTACACCACTTCAGTCAATCCTGCCCACCGCCATCGTAACACATATCGGTGAAGTTATTCTAACAGTTTTATCATCCAGGCACATCCTTCCACAACACTCAAACCGAATCTTGATTTTTCACTGAAAGATTCTTTCGGGATCAACATCTTGTCCAACAGATGTGCTGAAGTCACTGTATCAAGCATTCCTGACTTTGACAGTCTGTACAAATGGATCACTTCCTGGGCCTTGTTTCTGACTGTCAGAACAGTTGCATTGAAAAGTCTGTTAAGTTACCCTAGGGTTGAGGATCGGGTATGAAGATCCTGAGCTGCGGTGAATTACCAATATCCCCTTCCATGGCAGTGATCCAACCATACCTTATCGGGTTCTCGAGTTTGCGGAAACTGTGTTGCGGTTAATATTCTTAGTCTACCATCCCATGACGGTGATCAAACGATATCTTATCGGAGTCTATGAATAGTCTCTCTTGTTACAAAACAAAATTCTGGCTACTTGAATCACGGGTCTCGAGCGTACCAACAACCCAATCACTTTGATCACGGGATGAGTATGCCATGGTGGGGTGACCAGGGAACATTTATCTTCTGGCTGATAAGTGTTAGAGTTATGCAGGTGTGGATCATCGACACAGGATTTTGTGTTGCCTTCACTATAAGACACGTAATCTTGATACATTACATTCATATCGAATGCCTGTTATGGCGGGGCGCTAGTTAGTATACAATAAAGTTGATAGCAAACCCTGTAGAAATAAATGTTCATTTTGTGTATTTACTGCTTTGTCGAGTTATTATACCACCGTAATTTGCTATTGAAAAACTATAATATTCAGTCCGCAAGTGATTAAATGTCCTATAACTATCACACCATGTCGTGCAGATATCGTATGTCTATCAGGGGTTTTGCTTTCAAGAATGTCACGCATTGATTCCATGTCTCTCAGTGATGTGGTACTGCGTGGAAATATCACAATATTCCCTATCCATTGGTGTGGCATTAAAATGGCATGTCACACACAATGTGACGCCAATTATATTGATGGAACCTATGGTTCGCAAGTATGATGCATTGAGCGATTATGCTATAATATCCTTGTTACCTCGAGGCAGAATATTGTAACATGACCCTATATCAGTAGCGTAACACCATGGGTTTGTCACAATCTGCTACAATAACAGTAGTGTTATATTGCGCAAGTATGTCATGCTGCAACTATGCCACTATGGCTCGCAATACAAGTCTGTACAACACTCCTTGTTACTAAAACTAATTGTCAATGCAAGAGAATAACCAGCCTAGATTTTCTACAGAAAGAGATTCCACTTGGCGTAAAGGGCAAATAGCTGTGTAATTAAATGAAAGGACCACTGAAAATCGGTGATGACACCAGGTGTTACATTTTTCAGAATGTTGTTTTTCGCGAGGATGTGGAATATAACCCTATATATAAAAGCAATATTAATTTACGATTGTACTACATATCCATACATCCGTCAGTTATGTTTGGCGAGTAGGTAACACTATACCCCTGTATATTTTCCATTGCACTTTAATTAGAGCCGTATCTTGGCCCCATGCCTTATACTTGAGTTAGTGCGAAGAATCCTAATGTGCCTCTATGAGTCCCTCCACTAACGCTTCAAAGGTTGTCCAAATATTTGATCAACCACGTGGTCCCGAGAGAAACAAACTCAGGCCTTACCGTACCTGTAGAAACAGATTTACATCCATTCAACAAGACATCTGACTCCCATCTTTTAGTGACCGGAGTTATATGTAGGTTCAGTACGTTGGTCTTGGCGGTAAGGCCCTAGTGTATACATAGCCAGGGTAGTCAATGAGAGTATTTCCTTGCCCAGTCTAGCGAACGGGTCGCTATTGAATTCCACCTGGTTCATGTCGCTTGTTACATGCATTATCAATAATACTACTCAACCACTACCGCGACTCCTTGAAAAGAACGTGTGTTGCTTCTTTGTAGAAAGACAGCGTTCGTGTCGTCATCTCCTGTGCCTCTTCCTCTGCAAGTGAGAGCGTGATCAATTCCAGAGACAAAGTCAGAAAGAAAAAGCATCCATCATGACGCTGACGTTAATAGAGGAATCAATACCAGCCCTTCATCGTAACAGCCGCTATTTATATTTACGGGGTTTCACGTCGACCTTACAAAATGGGGTCTCATACAGGCGTCCCAACATGCATTGTCCTTGCCTTCATAAGAACACTCCCGGGCCCAATAGATGAAATGATGGGCAATATTGCAGTGATGAGTAAAGATATAGCAGCTTTTGCCTCTAGTAAACGACAGATTACTTTACGGAAATTGACATTTAAAGTGATAAAGTAAGTTGCAGAGCACCAAAAAAAAATTAGTTTCTTATTACTCGGTAATTGTTTTAATAGGCTCAAATCAATGTGTTTGCTATGTTCTATACACACAGTGACAGAGGGCATGCTGTCACATCGATCATGTTCTAGCTAAATTGCTTTGCGACCATCGAGAATTAGGATCGCAAATGTCTACTGTCCTGGTTTGATATGGATTAAATTGTACGCCGCCTCCTTGCAACCATTGGCTGTCGGTGGCAATCACCAAATGGAGGAAGACTATTTCAAATCCATTGCCATTTACTCGAAGGTAATTCGCTAAGTTGTTCGCTTTTGAATGGCAAATTACCTTACCGAAGCGTTGTAAAGTGGGTGTGTTCTCGTGTCGCTTGAGCGAAGCGAAGGTCCATAGCGATAACTGCCAACCTCAATGGCAAGATATGAATATGGAGCGATCACAGCTTCATGAATGCTTGTGTAAACAAGACATGGATTGTACTTTGGTGCTGTAACTTGCTATATAACGAATCTACAAGAACTAATTGTTGAGAGCCACGGATATATTGGGGCCTGTGTAGGTATCACGGATACATACAAAGCGTCACAATGTGGATATACGACAGTCGCCACCAACACATTATAAATAGCGATGGTTTCTTTTGAAGATACGAAGTTTCAAGAGTTTGATTGACTAACCTTTAAATGGGAATTACCATCTATCATTCTGGTGGCTTTTGAGTGTATAAAGCCATGGACATATAGAAAGTACACCTATGTATGAAAGGGCACAGTCTGGAACGCTTGACATCACTCGATTGAGCATCTGCAGGGGCACATAGGGAATATGGCGGCATGCACGTTCCATATGTAGGAGCTTGTGTCTGCAATCTACCTCCTGGAGCTGGATGTTGAAACAGCATTACGTGGAGCGGTGACATATACCTTCTTACTGTAAGTAGAAAACATAATTGTAGGATCAAAAGGATTTAGTTGCCCAGCTAGCCATGTACTTGTTGATGCAACAACGTCGTAAATGTAAACAAAATGTTATAAATATTAATGTCATTTTAAATATAATTTCAAGATCAAGGGTATAATATACATAGATACGATGAAATGTATTGTTCTGAAAATATGTATTTATCACTGAAATGTCGATCTGGTAAAATGGTCTTCCTTTGAAAATATAAGTACTGTTCCGGGGACACATATTCAAGTCGTCTTGGTAACGCATATTCCTGAACATAAAACGCTTCCAAACGTTGCCAATGGCATAAAGAAAACAAGCTTCACTAAGTAGCTCGGCAGTTCGGTATACTTCAGCTGTGGGTATTGTTATCCCCAACTCATAACCTCCAGCATAACACCATATGAAAATACTGTCATACCCAGTACCCGCCAACCGGTAATCGCTGTGTTACACAAGGGTGTGCATTGTCATACGCGGTACCCACCAACGTGGCGCTGGTTGTTTGACAGCGGTTGCCTGTATATTCATTACCGAGCACCTGAGAAATTGTACTGATTGTATTAAGTTGTATTTTAGGAGTAATGTGCTCCATTAAACAGCGAATTATCAGCAGTGAATGGGAGCAACCGTTATAATTGGGTAACTTTCTATTTAGAGTAAATTTGTCATTGCGAATATCATCAATTATTGCAATGTCATTAATTTTCTTTCAGTTTTGTCGGCAGTGACAGAAAGGCTTCTAATTTACGGTCGACAAAGCAATAACATAAACTAAGAAATAAAATAACAAAGCCGCACTATCAATATGAATTATGCCATATCATATAAGGAAATCGATAGGAGTGCTGAAGAACACTTGCCAGTACAATAAATTATAAGAGTACAAATGAAACGTTTACAACATTGGAGGTGAAGCAATTTCCTGGAGGTGCACAGTATTTGTATTAGAGAGAAAACATTAGAGCTTCAGAGGACTGAAAATGCATCAACCGTTTTCTGCAGGAATAAAAGTAGATCAAATGCATTTACAGGGCTGAAATGATATCTATACTTTTAATGATTGCAAATACATCTGACATAAAACCAGTAAGTTAGAGGCAACATATACTGATTATTTTAATTCTGCCATTTTGAAATGAATGGAAGACTGCTTAGTCGGGCCTTGTGCACAAGATGATAACAGAACTGATTTATACAGAAAAAGTAGAAATATACTTTAAAGCATCGAATTATATTTCTTGTATTCTCAGCATTTCATCAGATCCTCGGGATCTGTTTAAAGAACATGATTGAACGAAAGGGGAGTAATGAGAAGTGTAGATGCAATCTGTGGCTGTTCCTGTCTGTCTGTTGAACACGTGAATGGATGTCTGTGTAACATCTAAAACTATTCTACTCTCCCTTCCTGACCGATCTCTGTATAACGTATCCTATAGCACTCTACTTTCCATATAGCCTGATATAAGGTATAGCAATATCCCGGTTGGTGTGTGTGATGTCCTGATATGTATATAACGTATAATACGTACATCGCTCTCCCTTTGTTATGTCCTGATCTCTGTATAACGTATAATACCTATATCACTCTGTGTTTGATGTCCTGATCTCTGTATAACGTATAATACCTATATCACTCTGTGTTTGATGTCCTGATCTCTATATAACGTATAATACCTATATCACTCTGTGTTTGATGTCCTGATCTCTGTACAACGTATAATACCTATATCATTCTCTCCATGATGCCCTGATCTATGTATAACGCATACTACCTGTATCACTCTGTATGTGATGTCCTGATATCTGTTTAACGTATAACATCTGAATCACTCTCTCTGTCATATCCTGATTGGGGCGGTCGGGTAGCCTAGTGGTTAAAGCGTTCGCTCGTCACGCCGAAGACCCGGGTTCGATTCCCGACATGGGTACAATGTGTGAAGCCCATTTCTGGTGTCCCCCGCCGTGATATTGCTGGAATATTGCTAAAAGCGGCGTAAAACCATACTCACTCACTCACTCATACCCTGATCTCTGTATAATGTATAATATCTATTTCACTCTGTATTTGATGTCCTGATCTCTTTGTAACGAATAATACCTTTATCACTCGCTGTGTGATGTCCTGACCTCCATATAACGTATAATATCTATATCACTCTCTGTGTAATGTCCTGATCTCTGTATAACGTATAATACCTATATCACTCTCTCTGTGATGTCCTGATGTCTGTTGTACGTATAATACCTATATAGCTCGCTGTGTGATGTCATGACCTCCATATAACGTATAATACCTATATCACTCTCTGTGTAATGTCCTGATCTCTATATAACGTATACTACCTATATCACTTTCTGTGCGATGTCCTGATCTCTGTATAACGTATAATACCTATATCACTCTCTCTGTGATGTCCTGATGTCTGTTGTACGTATAATACCTGTATCACTCTGTGTGTGATGTCCTTTTCTCTGTTTCCCTATTCCTATGTCACACGCACTTGCCAAATACCACGCCATTACTGACCGCCTCCGTGGTCTAATGGTAGAGCGTCCACCCAGAGAGCGGAAGGTCCGGGGTTCGATCCCCGACCGCGTCATACCAAAAGACGTTAAAAGATGGTACTTGTTGTTACCCTGTCTTGCGCTCGGCATTAAGGGGCTAAAACAAGGACTGGTCGGCTCAGATTTAGTATAATGAGTCTGAGTGGGGTATTCATGTTAAACTGGTATCTCAGTGAGCTAGCACTATAAATCGGCATCAGTCTGGACTAGTACAAGCAGCCACACACACACACATACACGTGCATGCACGTCGCTGTATTCCAAGTGCAATAATCTTGGACGCGACGTTAAACCCCATTTCACTTCACTTCACCTCACCACGCCATTACTGAGAACAAATTTGGGACACACTGTCACCGTGTAAACAGTTTTCCATGACAATATATTTCCTAGTATTTAAGTTTTCAAAGTATGTTAACCGCATATGGATAAAACGTTATTTATAAGAAAACACTGTATCTATCAAATCGAAAAAAACGCGCTCATTTACGTATTCCCCTCATTTTCTAAAGTGCAGCGATAACGTTCAGTGGATGACGTCACGCCGTACACCATGACGTTATGCGCCTAGGTTACAAAGCAGTAAAGTTTAATTTAAAGATCCCCTTTCCATTCGTCTTAGCCGTATATGATATGCCACATGTCGTAAAATGTGAATGTATTCCCTTTGTTGTGGAAATATAACGCCGTTTCTTTAACGTTTGGCTTTTAAGCTAAGTTTCTCTGTTTCACTGTTGGGGGGTGGTCGGGTAGCCTAGTGGTTAAAGCGTTCGCTCGTCACGCCGAAGACCCGGGTTCGATTCCCGACATGGGTACAATGTGTGAAGCCCATTTCTGGTGTCCCCCGCCGTGATATTGCTGGAATATTGCTAAAAGCGGCGTAAAACCATACTCACTCACTCATTCACTGTTTCACTGTTTCAGTGGGGCGATAAATTGACTTGCATTATGTAACTACAATACACGACATTTCCAGTATCGCAGTGATCGCACAAACTCATACTGGAGAAACACGTGGAAGTTTCGTCGTATTGGTTTTATTGACGGGTACAATGTGTAAAGCCCATTTCTGGTGTCCCCCCGCCGTGATATTTCTGGAATATTGCTAAAAGTGGCGTAAAATTATACTCACTCATTCGTTTTATTGAAGTAGTTTACTGCTTTTTACACGTGTAAAACGGCCCCAGACATGTATGACAGTTATCTTTCAGGCTAGTGTAAACACTTTGATGGTTGATATGGGAGATAATTGGTTTGAAATCGACCCTCTTCTAATACGAGCTTCTTGATTGAAAATGTAAACATTATATCAGATTTCATCTTCGCATTCCTGAGTATTAAAGCAGTATGTGGGCAAGTAATACAGGCTGTGCGGATATGGAATGGTCGTTAAAGACGCCTGAATTCGATGTAAATACACTGTTCGAATTCCAATGGGGTGGTGAGGTAGCCTAGTGGTTATAACGTTCGCCCGTCTAGCCGAAAGCCGGGGTTCGATTCCCAATGTGTGAAGCCCAAGTTTGGTGCCCCCCTTAGTGATAGTGCTGGAATATTGGTATAAACATGACCATTATAATAGTGTTTTTTCTTTCCGTAATGATGTGTGTATGTTGACTTTGAAGAGAAGTAACACTTGTAAAGCCATTGAAATCATTTGTATCGCAAGTGTACTTTTAGGCCGGAAGTGAAACTGTGATACTGAATAAAAACCTGAAACGTGCAACCATTTTGGCCAAAGTGGTAAACGTCTCCGACCTGTATCAAGTTGGATTATCCCTCTACATTGAACTGACACGCCTTGATACAATTGAAATACTGTTCAAAGTGGCATACAACGCAATTACCCACTATCCCAGGATACACAATGCCAGCTCGTTGTTACTGTTTAGGAAACATACATCCGTTAAAATAAAAACGTCAATCAACGTTAGTCCACAACACGTCCCCAGGTTTAACTGGCGAAAACAGGAGGGAAAATATCTGATTGCCCGTCGGGGCCAATTCATACCTTAAAAAGACCAGGTAATGTTTCAGAAATGAGGTAAATACCTCCAGGAGTGATTTCTACATACAAATAAAAGGGCGAGAATGTCCCAAACAGTTGACCTTCAAAAGCAAATTGCTGCCTATGCATGGGTGAGGAAATCCTCCAGACTGATTTCACATCAGTCAGTCATTGTGCGAAGGACATACATGATTCAGTAACGTGTATGCCCACGGTTCGCAGGAATGGCTGCGTGTATACCTCGTGCCATTGACCAGATCACGTCACTGCATGGAAATGTTTGTACCGTTCACCTGCTCAAGGATACAAACACGTCTCTGTAAGTTGTTAGAAGATGGTCAATATGATTTAGGTCAGGATGTCTCGAAGACCATTCCAATTGAAAGTTAAAATGTTAGCTCTGGCGACAAC